AAAGGATACTTACCAGACTCAAGTCCTTGAACAACAAAGAGCCTTTCTTATGCTGGTTATGGTAGGGCTGATAAAATCAGTCTTGTTTGACCTATCGAGGTTAGAAAGACGCGTTTAACACTAGAAACAGGCCCTCTCATCGGGTTTCAGCTTAAGGGTGGGATTTCACTCTTCTCCCGGGATTGATTAAAGGGATTATCGGTATCCTACATAAATAAGTCTGTCGCTTTGACTGATAATAGCACAAAGCATACCCGGTATCGCATGTCATCTCATTTATCTGCTGGCGGGGGCAGGATGGAAGACCACAGATGAGCCATCTGCAGCGGGATTTTTGAAAATATCGGATTCATGTAGTATTTCTGTCTCGACCAATTAGAATTAAGATATAGGTTCTTGAGGGTTGACAAGAGCTAGTGAAAAGAAAGGTTTTTATCCCATTAGGAAAGGAACGTCAAGCCTTGGCAAAACCTCAATTCTGCAGTCTTGCATGGCTGCACTCCTTGAATCTTTCTTACTCTGTTTACAGAGCATGTCACTATGCCTAAGACATTGAAATGGCTAACAAGACAAGACAGGAGCTTCTATAAGTCCTCGAAAAGGAGATACTATGAATACTGGTACACTGGGAAAAAGTACATCTCATCTTCAGCTTTGGCATCATTAGATAAGAAAGACAAGACTTCTATGGTCGCTCAATTGGACCTAGCCTCGCAACAGGAACTCTCTTGATAACCATATGTTACGGGGCATGGGCCTTCTTTGTCTCTCAAGGGAAAGGCTAATCCTGAAACTTCTCTTTTTTTCTCAAACTATGACTATCACTCATTCTAGAATCTATGACTTTGAGCTTCCTCAACTGGTCCTACTCCTATGCTTGAAGTATGATAGAAAGAAAAGATTCATTAGATCTGATTCCTGCCGAAAAGAGTTTCACTCGATAATGAAATTGCTTAAGAGAAGTGATGTCTTCAGTCTTGAAGCATTCCCTGACCTTTCAGCTTTGGCGGGAATTTAACCAAACCAGAAAGAATACGTTGCTGACGCCTGAGCTTCCAAGCATTAGATCGAGTCCAAACCAAGTTTCACTAGGAAGGGAAAAAAGCTCTTTATGATATACAGGCTATCGAGGAATTCCGGATTCTAAGCAAGACTAAAATACCAATACTTTGATTGATGGAATTGAGAAGAAGTCTGTAACGTTTCTAGGGTTACCTCCTCTTTATCTAATTATCAGACCATAGACAAGAGCTCACTATTTTCGCAATAAACTATACTAGGATAGGTATCCTAAGTAAGAGATAAGACTAGTACATTCCATCAAGAGAGCTTCCTTTCTTCTTTCTTTGCTGGTCTCTACTAGTTGATCCACTAGAGCTAGAGCTACTTGACCCACGCAGCCTATTTTCTGAAACCCCTATCCCTCGCTATTAAGGAGTCCTTGCCCTATGATCTATAGAGAAAGAAGGTCTCGAAGACGGGACTACGCGAGGGAGTTAAAGAGTTCCTCTTTCGAGTAATCAAGGGAGAGATCCGATAGAATGCTTGATAGGACAACCTACCTTTCCTAGGATTAATAGGTGAGGAGAGAAGGCATCAAGTCTAGTATCAAGTTAGCTCCTTTCACTTTAGACGAGTCATCAACTACAAGAAGTAAGTTGGGTAAGATTCTAACCCGGTAGTCAAAGGAAGTCCAGTCTTCAAAGAAGGTGAGGCTATTTGTCATTTAGCGAGCCTTCATGTTGTCATGTGAGATGGTGCATCCGCTGGGTTAGACTGCCGTCCTTGTTCTTTAGGTGGATGTCCGAGCACCCGCACCTGTCACAGTCGTGTCGGAAAATATGGTGGTCAGTTCCTCATAAAAATGCACTTCTTACGCAGCATATCCGAACCCCAAGTGTGTGCCTTTGAAAACATACAAAGAAAAAATAAATGTTAACGACATGAAATTTTGTACTTAATTATATTTCAACGTGTGTATTTTTACTATTTTAATTAAAAAGTGAGCCATACCCGATTCCACCGTTTCATACATCATCCCCTCCGGTTATCACTTTGCGCGTATGATCCCATCCAAAGCTTGTTTCGGCCACCAACATGTCGTAAAGAGTCGCCACTTGCTCTTCATTCGGCGCATCTTGCTTTTCAACTGGGAAATTTCATACTTAGGATAGCCGAAAAGCCGTTCAATTAATTGTGTCTGCATATATTCGCATTGCGTCTGACTGAAATTTTCTTCAACACAATTACCTTTAATGGCCTCGTCATACATCATATTTACAAACTCCCTCTCATTTTCGATCGGCCAACTTCTTATCAATGTCAGCTTGCGATTGTTGAGTTGACGGCTCCATCTAAGAACTCATATCACCGCAACATTTTTGCAATATCATAACAAACGATTGGAAACAATATTCTCATGCGGATCATATGAGAAATAAAATTATGAAATATCTTTTACCTAATCTGGCAATATCAATTTATTCAAACAGGGCATTGACAAATATATTACTTATACATGATCGTAAAAACATTGCAAACACTCGCACCAACGAAGTTAATAATAATAGCACAACATTACAAAATATGGAATGAACTTTGGAAATAATAAGTACCAACAAATTATCAAGCGTCATATTAATCACTAATAAAAGAAATTCGTAGGGAATGAAGTATAATTGAAACAACTACCGTTTGCTAGGACTCATGTGGGTGAAGCTGTGAACAAAAATTTTTCCAATTATTTGACCTAAAATTTCAATAAGCAGCCAAATAATAAATAAATTAAATCCATAATGAACACACCAATTCTTGCAGGTTTCCAGCAGACAGTCATAATCAATCTAATTTTGAAGTTGTTTGCAGAAGTAAAACAATTTGAAAACATAACTATAGTTGTTGGAGACAACTATGCTGATTAACACAATTTTACCCCATTAAAAATAAAGAAATTTTTCTCACCAACTAACACAGTTGAAGATGCAATTCATTGGAAGATCATGAACACAAATACCTCTTCTACAAATAGATGACATCTTTTTTTTTTTTTGTTTTTAATTGGATGTAGGTTATGCTGTAGCTTCCTGTGCTTTTGGATAGGTTTCCACCGCCACCTGAGTTTCGACGGAACCGAATTTTCTCGTCGGATAAGATGTCTCTCCTTCCATATCTCCCCTCTCTGCTTGGGCTAATTTGAGGAGGAGGGGTGTTTTTCCAGTCATGTCGTCCGTACAAACTTTTTCATATTATTTTTGGTTAAACGCGACTAGGGACATATGTGAAAGGGGCGACAATGCTCAATAATTTATTTGTGATGGTTGGGTGTATGAGCGAAAACCCTCAAAAATTAAAACTGGTCAAATACCCATGTGATCCGTATCCAATCAACCCAAGTGACACAACCGGTATAAACCAATTTTTTTCTACATCCAGTCTATCCCTAAGGGTCACTTGAATACATACAGACTTTTTAGAAGTCTAAAAAACTATCAATTGAATACACCAAAATTACGAATGTCTTAAAATGTTTTTAAAAATCTTATATGAATACATTCTCCTAAATAAGCCTAAGCGCAACAAAGTAAACAACTAGTGGAGAAAACACAATGTGATTTTATAAAGTTGAAAATTTTGTTCTTTAGGAAAAGAAAAAACAATAAAAAAATGGTTAGAAAACTAGATTAGATTGGCCTGTTCGGGAGCTGGTCAGTTGACCGGTCCGATTCGCTGGAGTGAATCAGTTGCTAATGAACTGGTCAAAAACCGGCTAACGACCTGTTGAACTGGTCAAAACCAGCCCAAAACCTGTCCGGTTAGAACGGTTTGAACAAGTCCAATTTTTTAAGTAAATTTTAATATATATAAAAATATTTTTGATATAAATAAAAAACATTTTTAAATATAATGGATATATATAAGTTATTATAATTAAATTTAAGAATTTAAATGTTTTAAATTATAATAATATTTATTTAATAAAATTAATAAAGTTTTGTATATAAATTTTATTATATAATATAGTATTATATATGTTCAAAGTCCAAAGATATTAGTAAATTAAAATATCAATCCGATTCTGGAACCAGTGAATCGGTTGTTGCACAAGCTTGATAAAAACTAAAAAGTGATTCAAAACTGATATAAATTTATTAGAACGAGAGAGAGAGAGAGAGAGAGAGAGAGAGAGAGAGAGAGAGAGAGAACCGCAACACGTCAGTAGTCTTCAGTGGCGAAAAAACGCACCTCACCGCCTCGTCTCTTTCTTCGCTCTCTTTAAGCGCCTCTCTAAATATACGCACGCACATTACACGCAAACATACTCCCAACCCCAATCGTCAATCACGGTAAGGTTATGTTACTCATTGATCTTTCTTAATTCAACTCCTGGCGGGAAATATATGGTTTCTGAATGTGAACTTGTGTTGATGTGTAGAATTTTAATTTTTATTAATTTACAATTTTGGGGAACTGAATGCAAATCGTGTGTTTATACTAGGGTTTTTGTGGTAGATTTGTCTGCATTGACTTGGTAAAGCTCCAATGCATGCAGAATTGTTGTGTTTTCTTTTTCATGATTAAGATTCAATTCGTCTAGATTGAAATTTTCTTTGAATTTGTTCATCAATTTTTGTTGTTGTTTTTTTCGGATTCCTGAAGTTGGGTTTTGTTTTTCAATGTTATCCGCATGTTTTTTTCACCTGGGCTCTCTCTATCTCCGTCCCCCATTTATTGATGTAAATTTTCAGTGGGTCTTTTTGTTGATTTTTTCGGATTCAGGAAGTTGGGTTTTGGTTTTCGATGTTGTCCGCGTGTTTTCTCACCTGGTCTCTCTCTATCTCCGTCTCCCATTTATTGATGTAAATTTTCATTGGGTTCTTCTGCGTTTGAAATTGTTGGTACATCTGGATTTTTCTCTTTGTCATCTTTGATCCATGTTATTTTGTTATCTTTTCAGGTTATGAGCTTGACTTTTGAAGGAATTCGAACAAAAGCAAAAAGAAATGCCTCTCTATAAAAAAAAGCCATTTGCATTAGTTGAGAAGCCAGGCGATCTAAATCCGGAAGAGCTTGTCTTTCAAATTCAATTAACAAAAGAAATCTTCAGAAGTTATAAGTAAATTCTGTTTTATTCAAGCACGAAATATGGACTTGTTGTTTCATTTAACCTCTTTCTTATGCCTACATCTGATATGCCAACAGTGAATATTTGAAGAGAATTAACATATACCGTAAAAGAGTCTGGACATGCAAAGCTACAGGGAAGGGCAATTTGACCTATGAAGAGGCGCTTGTTTCAGAAGAAAGAGCTTCCCAACGCATACGAAATATTCCCGTCCAATATGTGGCTCCTATTCTTCGTGATGTTCAATTCAGTGAGTTCTGTCCTTGTTTTGTTCAGCTGTTGCCATCTTTCTGAGAACAAACCTGTCGGGATCTTGTGATGGGTCATCATCTAGAATTTGGTGTTCTTTCTTATAGCAGCTTTATGGCATAATTTCTAACAGTGCCAGTTGTGGTAGTATAGAACAAAATATTTTCTAAATTATATAAGTGCTAAATGACGTGATATTGGCACAATAATAAACTTCCAAAATGGATTTTTGTCATGTATTATTTTCTGTAGTTGATTGGTTTCTTGTTATGATCGTTTACTAATAATGTATGACTTGTAAAATTTGTCAGCACCACTAGTGTGTGGGTTTCGTTATCAGTCGAATCCCCACTAACGATGCGCCTGATGGTGCATGAAATGGGATGAGTAACAAAAGAATATAGTAGATAGCACGTGGATAATTTTTTTATTTTTTTTATTGGAGTTCTTCTTGGATATGACTTTGAACATTTATTCACACTATTACAGCGCATTTCTTATTATCAAGGAAAGATCAAATGATAATCTGCATCTGTTTATTGGTTTAATGAGAAACTAGAAAGAACACCAAAAATTTGAGTGGTTGAACTGGAGGCATCATTGATAATGTTCCAGATGATTAATGAATCAAGATGTGACATTATGATGTTTTACGCAACTTGTATAATTTGACCTGTCATAGCATGCTTACGTAAATGATGAAAAGCATTAATTGTGGCAGTTCAAAACAGATATTTTCCTTTTTTTTTTTTCCTTTCACATTCGCCCTTCTTAGATTCCCCGGTCATCAATCAGATATACTTCCATCCTTGATGCCCGTTCTTTCCATCTGCTTCTCTTGTTGTAGCATGACGGCCCTCCAGTTGACTTCTTCCTAATGGTCAACCATGTGTTGGGTTGGGACTTCGTGCTTTTATCATCTTCCATCTGTTTGAGTTGAAGATGGAGATATCTGATATCATATCCCATATGATTGCATGAGTTGTTAGGACTTACATTATTTCTGTTGGTAGGACTTAACTATGAAGCGACATGAAGTTCTATTTGATCAAATGAAGTTCTTCTATTTCGTCTTAGCGCAATCATGTAACAAGTTATCCAGATATTGTGCTTCTCTAGTAAGTTACTGCATCACATCAAATGCTTAGCTTAGACATTTCCAGTCAATATTGAATAAAACATTTTTTTAGTGGTTTGCACGGAAGTTGTGCATTTCAGGAAATTGTATGTTTTTCCTATGTTAGACATCTTAATTGTGAATGAATTGTATCGGATTACTTTAATGTGCCAATGTTTTTATGGAATTGAGATGGTCTTCACATTTTTACTTGACCATGGATTTGGTCTTTTTTTAAATATATAATAATTAATGGCAGGCATGCTAAATTTGAAAGATCTGGTCAATTCAATTGCTGCAAAGTTTCAAGGCCCTTTTTCCGAGGGTGATGAGTTATATGGAAAGAAGGATGGTCGTTTACACATGTGCAAAATCATAAACATTGTCAAGGATGCTGATTCGGCAAAATATGAAATTGAATGGCTGGATGATAACAAGAAAAAGAGGGGAAATACTCTATTAAATGGTGATGATTTATCAGTAAAGAATCCTCCTTTCAGCAAACTGGTTCTCAAGGCTTTTATCAAAGATTCTACATATAGGAACCAACCTTGGGTTTTGCATGATAAGTTAGCAAAGGCACACGGAATCCCTACATCACCTCCTGAAGAATTGAAGTCCCAATGTTATTTGCAGAAAGGAGTTATAGTTTGTAACAGGAAGAGAAAAAACATTGAAGAGCCTAAAATGACATCTGGATCCTCATTGCCTGTAAAGTGCGCTGATGGAGGTAGGTTTTCGTGGTCACTTTCCAGGTCAGCATGATCGCATTTTCTTGTGTTGCTCAAATTATCCATGCTGTTTAGGTATGCTAGGGCCAGTTGTGATTATGGAGGGTTTTGATGAAGTTAATTGTTTTTCTTTTTTCATTCTGTTTTTGATATATTCCGTTATGGTGGGGATATGCCTCTTTTTTCTATTCCTTTTTGTTATATTTTTCTTCTGTTGCCTTTTTCTTAACTACTTTAGAATCCACGAGAATATCAAATGTTTCTGAATTCATCCATTCTTTTGCAATCGTCTTGTTCTCTCTCTCTCTCTCTCTCTCTCTCTCTCTCTCCATCTCTTTCTGATTTCTTGATTTGTTATTTCCAGTGAATCCACAAGATAAATCCATTAAATATCCCATTGATGACCTGCTGGTGCAGCCTACCGAGGAAGACCAGCTTTTGACGGAAAGGCCCTCCCCATGCAGGGACTTCAATGTGCCCATGGATTGTGTTGGGGATCTTGTGATGGTGTGGGATTTTTGTGTTTCATTTGGAAGGCTAATAAATTTGTCCCCGTTCTCTCTTGAAGACTTTGAGAACTCCCTTCGTTATAGAGACAGCACTCCTTTGCTCATTGTGGAGTCTTATTCAACTCTCCTTCACTTGCTAATAAAGGACAACACAGATTTTTCTACATTTATACAAAATAAGAAAAGGAAGCCAAAGGTTTTTTGATCTGCCCTAGAAGAATATTTTCCTCACAGTATCACATAAAGAATATTGGTGAGTTAGGTGTTCTTTCTCGTAATTTGGCTTTTTTTTGTTCCTCTTTCAGATTACTCAGATTACCTGGACGGATTACTTGTGTGACTTCTTGGAAATGACCCGTTCTGATGACCTAACTTTGCATATAAGTACTATTAAGCGAGGCCATTATTCCCTGTTGGAGATTAATGTGAAGTTGGTGATTTTTCGTGAATTGATTGCTCAAGTTCTCGAGACAGATACTGTGAGGGAAAAATTGGACGAGTTTATTGAAGAAAGACAGGCACTTGCTGCTGCAAGGAGAGATGAAGCACTGGACGAAGGTAGAAAGAGGAGAGAGAAAAAGGAGAGCAAGAAGTCAGAAGCTAGTGGCAAAGAAGTTAAAGATGAGCGTAAAGTGAAATCTGGTGGGGGCAATAGTGGTGTACTCAATGGAGTTGCTGCTGATCAACGGAGTCAATTTTCTGGTGGAACCAGGTTGGACTTTTCCTATTTTATTTTTATTTTTATTTTGCCCGAGTTAAAACAATTTGTTGGTGAATTGGAATAATCGTAATCCTGACCTTATCAGTTTTCTATTTATATGCGGATGTGTTTATTTAGCAGTGAGAACGAACAAGGTGACAGCACGTCTAAGAAGAATTCCAAGAAAAGGAAGGTTGAGACCAACACTTCTTCAGAAGATGTTAATAACCCGTCCAAGAGGGAGATCTATAAGCTGATGAAAAATGAAGTCAAGGAGTCATTAGGGATGAAGAGTGCAGAGGAAAGGGTGCGCACCTCCCCACCCCCATGCATCCGTGCATACATATACATTTGTGTGTGCTTATTTGAAAGCGATAAAAGACAAAAAAAAAAAAAAAAAAATGTTTTGTCATCTTCGTCATTGATATTCTGTTGTGTATTCTTCATGCAGAAAAAATTTCTTGAACGGGAGATTGAGAAGAGATTTATTCGCACTAGCCCGTTAGGGAAAGATAGAGATCGCTGCACGTATTGGTTTTTTCAACGTGATGGGAGGGTATTTGTTGAAAATTCTGAGTCCACGCAGTGGGGCTATTATCAAACAAAGGACGAGGTGTGATGTTGTGACTTTGTATCCTGAGACTTTTTTTTTTCAATCTTTTTACCTAGTTTCTATTCTCCTTATGACAGCTTGATGCTTTGATTGGCTCAATGAACCAAAAAGGGGTGAGGGAGAGAGCTCTGAAAAAACAGCTGGAGAAATTTTACAACAAATTATGGTGGGTTCTTTAATTTTTTTTCTCATTTTACTGTTGTGTGGTTTGTCTTGGATGTCAGTTGGTCTAATTGAAGATTTGTTTTGTGTTGTTATTTAATGTGTTCTGTCATTCTGTGGTAGATTTTCTATTTGTTTTCTTGACATTCTTGGGGACCTATCAGTTACAGCCGAAATTTTACTGACTAGTAACTATAACTATATCTATGGTGCCAAATGCTTCTTTTGCCTTTGTTGAAATCCCTGACCCAAATTCATGTTGCCTAAAACAAATGCCTAATTTTATGGACAGTACACGACATAGTATCTTTATGGTAAGTTCATTTTTAATAATTTCTGTTGATATTTCTGATTAGTCGAGACTCAACACTGACCTCTGTTGGGATATCAGATTAATTTTATCTTTAGATGCATCTTTCAGTGTGCTTGAGAACAGAAATCACGCTTATTTTAAAAAATGTCTAATAATCTGTTCCATTGAATCCAATTTTGCAGCACTGGACTTCAGAAAAGATCAAAGGAGGCAACGGAAAGGGTGAAAATGGAAGAGTCACTGGTTCGGAGGTCGACTCGTGTTCGTGCCCCATTAGGGGAAAACCCTTCACATTCGTTCCTTAAGTATGTGAACAAGTGGAAAGATACATAAATCTTTAACTATAAGTAGTACAGATTCATCTAACCACCACATTAAAGTGGGAAATCGAATAGAATCGATGCATTCCGGTTAAAAGATTATGTTGGGATAAAGTAACTAGCTCAAAAATTTTGGAAGAGCATTAGATATATTCGTTTTTTAGGACCAGATTTTGGGGCTCCAAAGAGCTATAAGTTGATGGAAAATATTGGTAGTTATTTATTTAGTACTATTTGTGGCATTTGCATCTGTTTTTTTTTTTT